TTCAGTCATTGGGTCACTATTGTACATTAGTAGTTGGACCAGACCCGACATTGCACTTAGTGTTAATCTCTTATCTCGACACGTAGGTAAGGCAAAACAGTTTCATTGGACATGTATTAAGAAATTATTGAGATACCTAAAATACACTAAACACATGAAGTTATTGTTAGAACCAACACATACTGATTATGCAGAATTATGTTGTTATGCAGATTCTGATTGGGCAAGTGATAAGAAATCACGCAAAAGTACTTCAGGTTATATGATGTTCTTAAATGGATGTCCTGTTTATTGGCAAGTACGTAAACAGAATTTTGTTTCTTGTTCATCTACTGAAGCTGAATATGCTTGTGTTTCAGATGCATGTAATTCCCTAACTTGGTTTGATGCTTTAGTCACAGATATCTGGACACACCCGATCCGACCGATCACAGTGATGGAAGACAATGAATCGGTGGTTTATATTTCTGAATCTCATTTCACAGGTTCTAGGTCCAGACACATTGACATTCGTTACCAAAACATAAAAAATAGATCTCTAAGTTGTTCCACCATTTCTGCTTGCAAAGTTTTATAATTCACTGCAGTCAAGCCATCCGTTCCAGGAGCTTTAGCTGTTTTTAATTGTTTAATTGCTACTATTATCTCCTCCTCTGTTATAGGATAATTCATTCTTTCCTTTTGTTGGTCAGTAATTTTTGTAACACTTTTATTATTTAAATATTTTTCTATAAGTCCATTCTGCACATCATCTTTAGCATATAGTTTAGTATAATAGTCCACAAAAGCTTCTTTAATTAATTTTTGTTGAAAGATTTCTTTCCCTCCAATATCAATATTATCAATAGTCCGTATACTCTGCTTTTTCCTTAATGTGTAAGCCAACCATCGCCCGGTTTATTGGCATTACAAAATGTATTATGCTTCGCATATTGTAAGTTTGTTGCAACTTGTTCCGCCATAAGCATTTGAAATTGGTCTTTCAAAAGTTTTATAACACCACGTATTCTTTCATCTGTTGGGTTTTTAATAAGTAGCTGTTCTTTGTTCTTTATTTCTACTTCCAATTCAGATCTTTTCTTTTGTCGAATCAATCTATGTTTAGAGTTCATATAAATGAGCACCCCTCTCATATAAGCTTTGCTCGCATCCCACACAATTTCAATTGGGGTACCTTTATTCAAATTTATTTCAAAAAATTCTTTCAAGTGCTTTTTAAGTTCTATTATATTTTTTTCATATCTGAACAAGTTTTCATTCACTCTCCAAGAGCGTCGCTCAGTCTTACCCATCTCGATTTCTATCCATACTGGGCTATGGTCGGACAAAGTTCTTGGGAAAATCTTTGTTCTTTTTGTCTTAACAAGTAAATCATCTGACAACAAAATAAAGTCAATCCTAGAGAAGGATCTATGTCTGTCGGAAAAAAAAGTATAATCCAATTCTTTTGGATTGTGTATTCTCCAAATATCTTTTAATTCCAAGTCTTCTTTCATATCAAAAAAAGTCTGTGGTAGTCTAATCCTGGATTTCGCCAAACTCTTTTTATCTAGTTTAGAATCAATTACTCCATTCCAATCTCCCATAATTAAAATAGATCTATAGTCCCATTGCAGTATTTTAGTATGTAACATTTTATAGAAATGATCCTGTTGTTGGTTGGGAGCATAAATTCCAATCAAAAGAATTTGGCCATTTACTGTAAGCAATTCAATTGCTATAAACCTACCATCTTCATCTGCTTCTATAATTTTAGCTGTTAGTCTTTTGTTTACATAAATAACCACACCATTCCTTTTTTGCAAAGTTGAAGATATAAAATGTGTTCCTAATTTAGAGTTTATCAAGTATTTTTGATCTTGAGTTGTGATATGAGTTTCTTGTAAACAAATTATATCATTATTGAATTGTCTCAAGTATGCAAATAACTTCTTCCTTTTCTGTACTGAGTTCAACCCATTCACATTCCAGGATAAACACTTAATTGTCATCTTTATCTTTCTGAAGCAACGAGCAGAATAACCGAATATCTTCCGGAATCTTCGGTCTTGCTCCCCCCATGGCTTCAGTCTCTTGTGTAGTACTCTTAACTCCCTTTTTATATTGTCTTTCCTGTTGTTGCTTTTCTTTAAGTTGCTTAGATTTTGCACGAGTTATACGCTGATCTTTAACTTCAACCATCCGAGCCGGGTCCAAGATTGGAGAAGATTCTAACAGGGGCTCCTCCAAGAAACCTCCTTCAGCACCCTGCGTTTCCTCTAACTCCACCTGCTTAGACAGTTCTTGCAATTCTTGCTGGAGTTGCTTCTTATCACTCTCCTTAATCTCCAGCACTGTAGATGTATGTGGAGATGGTGTTCTTTCTTTAAAAATAGTAGTATAAAAATGCTCCGCCTTCTCCACAGTATTCAAACGATGTCTTTCTCCCTTATACTTCAAAATTATGCCAGTTGGGGCATCCCACCGGAATGGTATCTCTTGTTTTTGCAGTTCTTTTACTAGAAAGCCAAAATCTTTTCTGGCTTTCAGCATTTTAGGTGGTAGTTCTTTGTAAACTCCAATTTGTGCGCCCCCCACTTGCACAGAGGTGAGAAAAGATTTTTGCAGGATGTCATTTCTTATTGCTCTGTCTGTAAAATATATCACCACATCTCTAGGCAATTGTCTTTGTCTGGCCACCCAGGAATTCACTCTATAAATTTTGTCTATTTTGTAAAAAACCACATCAGGATTAATTTTTAATATCACTGCCAAAGCCTCAGCACAAGTCTGTCTCAAATCCTGTCTGTCATCCTCCCTGATTCCTCGAAGCCTTATAGCAAATTCCATTGCCCTGAATTGCATCATTACAATTTCGTTTTCAACTCTCTGCATTTTATCATCAACATCAGAAATTTTATAATCATTGTCTTTCATCTTAACATTGACTTCTGATTTAAATTCTTCCACTTTAGAGTCCACTTTAATAATAAATTCTGCAAGGCCAGACGCCACATCTGATATTTTTTTAGTCACCTTGCCATAATCCTGTTTCATCATATCTTTGATTTCATTAATTTCCTGCATAATTTCCTGTTGAGATTTTTGAAGTTTATCATCTATTTCCTGTTGAGATTTTTGAAATTTATCATCCAAAACCTGAGATATAAATTCTTTTAAAATTTCAAAGTCAAAGTCTTTTTTCTGAGTTTGTTGGACAGAGGGAGGCTGTGATTCATGTTTGTGTGTGGGGGATCCCCCCCCTGCTGCCTTTCCTTCCTGCTTCTTTGAGGCCATCCTGCCACGTAGGTTGGTTTTTCTGAAAAGGGAAATCCTTTTTCCTTTTCTACCTCCACAAAGGCTTCTAAAAAAGTCCCCCAGGTTTAATCAGATAGAAGCTGAGAGCAAATTCAGATTTTAAAGAAATTTTTTTTCCTCTTCTCCTATTCCTCTATATTACAGGCAGAGTAACTTTGTAACTGATCAAAGTAACTTCACAGAGTCACTTTCACTAGCTCGTTAGCTCAGCTGCTGGGCGCCATTTTTTTTTCAAATCAATTTCACACGATCGTACTTTCTCTTAATTTAAAAAGTCACCAAAGCATCAATACTTGCAGTTTTCAAGTTTGGGGGTTCAAGTTAATACTTCCGCTGATTATTAAGGTTGGTTTCATTCAGATAGGACGTTTGCAGCAGCCAGCTTGTTCTGTGAAGAGCAGAATCGTCCCACGCCGTCCGGAGTCTGGCAAGTTGAAAGGGAGCCGCACCTGTTTCCTTCCCAGCAGCGATTCTCTGGGGGCTCACAGGGCTCAAGCAGTGCCTTGCCTTCTCTCCTCCTGCAATCCTTCGGATTTTTGGAGTTTTCAAGCCGCTTCTGGGTATCGAAGCGGCTCTACAGACAGCGGGGCTGGCGGTCCTTAAAAGGAGACCGTCTTTGCTGGTGGCGAACAAACCGGAAGTCCGGTTTTTGCTTTTATATATATATAATATTTTATTTGATTTATAGGAATTTTATCATGCTATTTTTCTAGTGTATTTCTTGTAAGCTATCCAGAGCTGTTTAAGATGGGCATCCAAAATTTTTTCTAAACTAATAACTAAAATTATTTTTCTTTCAAAACTTGCCAGTTATTGTTCTCTAAGCTTTGTGCACTAAATAATTCTGACTAATTTTTTTAAAAAATATGGAACTTTTATTTCTTTCTCTCTCTCCCTCTCTCTCTCTCTCTCTCTCTCTCTCTCTCTCTCTCTCTCTCTCTTCTGTGTTTCTCTGAAAACATGATCCACCCAATAATAAGTCCAACCCTAATTTTTTGGGGGTGGGCCTAATATTACCCCTACCTTGAAAATAAGCCTGGGGGAATGGGCGTGGCCAGCACGAGTGATGGCGCGGGCATGGGGGGGACAACTGTCCGGCTCCAGCTGCAACCCACTGGCCCCTTGGGGCAGCGCAAATACCGCTTTTGCCCTTCTCTTTCTGGGCGCAACGCTTCTGCTTGTTGGGCCGCTTCCCCAAAGCCAGCAGCTCCATGGCCAGCTGCTTTGCTTTTTCCCTCTTTTTGGGAGGCTTGCGGGTGAATGGGAGGAAAATGGGGAGGGGAATGGGAGGAAAATGGGGAGAGGAATTTTCTTGCTTGTCATCAATTCCTCAAGATCAGCCCAGACTAAGGGTAGGATGGCAGGCAGGAAAATCCTCCTCCCCATTTTCCACATGTTCGCCAAAAAGCCTCCATTCTGAATGCTGAAGGTTTGGAATGGAGGTGACAGTGCCTCCATTGCGTGTCCACCTTACTGAGTCTGGCCTGCTGCACATCAAAAAAAGTAAGACCACCTCAAAAATAAGCCCAAGTGGTTATTTTCAAGTTTAAAAGAAAATAAGACTGTCTAATTTTCTGAGAAACACAGTATATAGAGATAGATAGATAACAGATAAATAGATGATCGATAGATATAGAAATAGATATATAAATATATTGTAATAAGTTATTTTGTTTTATAACATACAAAAATTCTAATTTCAGTTGAACAGTGTGTTGTCTGGGACAAATCATTACAGGAAATAAGGTATTTACAACAATATTCATTGCATTAATATCAATTATATTAATAGTAATAATATTGATGATATTTGTTTAAGCAAGTTAACATATCTTCCTTATATGACTAATCCTTCCATATATTTCCTATTTTGTCAGCTAACCATTGATAAAATAAGTCCCAAGTCAAAAAATATTCAGTTTCTTTCTTTTCCTTAATTTTAAGTGTTAGCTTATCCATTTCTACACATTCTAATATTTTTCTAATCATGTCTTCATCTATCGAGATCTCTTCACTTTTCCATTGTTGTGCTAATACTATTCTCGCTGCAGTCAGTACATATAAAATCAGATATGCATTCCCTTTGTTATACTTGTCTGGTAAAAGGCCCCCCAAAAATGTCACTGGTTTCAAATTGATATATTGTTTTATCATTTTTTCCAGCCATGTATGTATTTCAGTCCAATATTTTTTTGCTTTTTGATATGTGCACCACACGTGATAGTATGAATCAGGTGACTGTGACATTTCCAACATTTCGCAGATTTATCCTTAAACATCTTTGTTAACCTTGAAGGCGGAAAATGCCATCTATAAAACATTTTATAAAGATTTTCTTTGTATGCAGTAGACATTGTTAATTTATAATTTCTATCCCATAATTTTTGCAACTCATCTAACTCAATCAAATAACCAAAGTTTTTAGCCCATTCTATCATTGTCTCTTTTACTTGTTCATCCTCCATTTTAATACTTAAGAAATAATTAGACTTTATTAGTTTTTCATCTGTCCCTGTGATCTAATTCTGTTAATTCTTTATACAAACCATACATTTTAACATTCTTCTCATATCTAGATTGTATCTGCACATATGACCACCATGTTATCTCAATCCCTTGATCACTCAGTTCCTGTTTAGTTTTACGTTAATTTTTTTTAAAAAAAATATTTGTCAAGAACATATTTGGTAATAAGTATAAGCATGGTTTTGATATATAAAATAGATAAAAATAAAAGAAACATTAGGACAGGGACAGTAGGCACACTGGTGCTCTTATGCATGCCCCTTACAGACCTCTTAGGAATGGAGTGAGGTCCACAGTAGACAGTCTTAGGTTAAAATTTTGGGGGTTTGGGGATGAAATCACAGAGTCAGATAGTGCATTCCAGGCATTGACGACTCTGTTGCTGAAGTCATATTTTTTGCAATCGAGTTTGGTGCAGTTTACTTTAAGTTTGTATCTATTGTGTGCTCGTGTATTATTGTGGTTGAAGCTGAAGTAGTTATTTACAGGTAGGACATTGTAGCAGATAATTTTATGAGCTACGCTTAGGTCATACCGAAGGCGGCGTAGTTCTAAGTTTTCTAAGCTCGGAATTTCAAGTCTGGTGGCATAAGGTATTTTGTTGCGAGCAGAGGAGTGGAGGAATCTTCTTGTGAAATATTTCTGGACGTTCAATTGTATTAATGTCCGATATGCAGTGCAGGTTGCAGACAGATGAGCTGTATTCGAGAATTGGTCTAGCAAATGTTTTGTATGTTTTGGTTAATAGTGTGATATTACTGGAGAAGAAGCTATGCAATATTAGGTTTACAACTTTTAATGCCTTTTTGGCGATGTTGTTACAGTGGGATTCGGCACTTAGATCATTAGATATGAGTACTCCAAGGTCCTTCACAGAGTGAGGGTCATCTGCAAGGTCGTGTCCACTCAGCATGTATTTTGTGTTCTGGTTTTTTTTCCAATGTGTCAGACAGAGCATTTGTTGGTTGAGATTTGGAGTTGCCAATTGTTTGACCATTCCGACACAAAGTCGAGGTCTTTTTGAAGGGTAGCAGCATTTTTACATCATCAGCAAAGAGAACGCAGTTGCATATAATATGATCACAAAGCTCATTTATGTATAGTATGAAGAGTGTTGGTCCTAGAACGCTACCTTGTGGAATACCGCTATTAACAGGTGCAGGATTTGATAGGGCACTCCCTATTTTGACCACTTGTTGTCTGTTTGACAGAAATGCAGCCATCCAATTATATAGGGGTCCGGAGATGCCATAGGATTTTAGTTTTAGAAGTAGTTTGTCATGTACCACTGAATTCAAGGCTTTACAGAAATCTATGTAAATTGCGTCTATTGCTTTGCCCTGATCGAGATTTGTAATACATATGTTCTTGCAGTGTAGAAGTTGTAGATTACAAGATAATTTTTTTCTGAAACCAAATTATTTATTAGAGAGTAGGTTGTTTGTTTCTAGGTAGAGGGTAATGGAATGGTTAATGATTGATTCCATGACTTGTCAGGTGATGCAGCATAAAGAGATTGGTCTGTAATTTGCAACTAGGCTGGGATCTCCCTTTTTGAAGATAGGAATGACTGTGGCTAGTGACCATAGTTAGGGTAGGGAGCTGGTCCTGAAGGATTTTTCAAAGATTATGCTTATGTTCCCCCTTTTCATTTGAAATATACACTGCTCAAAAAAATAAAGGGAACACAAGCAGAAGACATCCGAGATCTGAATGAATGAAATAGCCTTATTAAATACTTTGTTTGTTCCCTTTAGTTGTTTGAGCAGTATATAAACTACTGTATGTAAAGAACAAAGTATTTAATAAGGCTATTTCATTCATTCAGATCTCAGATGTCTTCTGCTTGTGTTCCCTTTATTTTTTTGAGCAGTATATTTATATATGGTAACCTCCTTTATATCAATAATATTTGAGTAAATCAGTGCCTTCATTGTGGAAAGCCAGACCTGTATTTTCAAATAATGTTGTTCTTTAATTTTCTCCCATACTAATAATAACGTATTCCTAACATAGTGTCTTTGGAAGTAGCTATGTATTTATTGCCAACCTAATTCGAGATCATGTCTCTCCAAGATCAATAATCTTTTGTTCCTCAAGCCAATCCAAATAAGTATCGAAGCTTGGTAGTACAGTTCCCAATCTGGTAGCCCAAAACCACCTCTATTTTTACAATCTTCAACGTTTTCAAACTTATCTTGCTTTTTTCCCTTGCCAAATATATTTTAATATTGTTTTATTTAATTCTTCAAAAATATTTTCCCCCCAATTTTATTGGTATTATTTGAAATAAACATAATAATCTTGGCAAGATATTCATTTTTATAGTGGCTACTCTTCCGATCAATGCTAATTGTAGATTTTTCCACTTCTCCAAAATCCATTTTAATTTGTTGTGCCAATTTATAATTATTATCTTCTTTAATTGTTACACATCTTGTGAATGTCTTAGGACATTCAAGATGTTGTAGGATGTAGTGCAGACCCATATTAACAGCATCATCTGTTGATCTATTTGCTCGGTATGCAAATTGCAAGGGGTCTAACAGCGGATCTGTGATGGTTTTGAAGTGGGACAGCACTAGCCTTTCAAAGGTTTTCATAACTACAGATTTTAGAGCAACTGGTCTGTAATCATTCAGTTCCTTGATGGTGAGCTTCTTCGGCACTGGGATGATAGTAGAGTGTTTGAAGCAAGAAGGAATATAGCACATCTCTAGCGATTTATTGAAGGTACGGGTGAAGATGGGGGCCAATTGGTCAGCACAGACTTTTAAGCAAGAAGGAGTTATCTTGTCTGGGCCTGGAGCCTCTCCTGGCTTTTGTCTGTGAAATAGGTCTTGCACTTCCTTTTCTGTGATCACTAGGGGTTGTGAACCCAATGGGATGGTGTCAGTTGTAGGAGGCTTGGCTGTTTTTGGTGTGTCTGAGATGGGGGTTGTGGAGATAGGTGGCTGTAGTTTCCTTTCAAACCTGCAGTAAAACAGGTCATTTGCCAGTTGTTGATTTCCTTCAGCCTGGGAAGGAAGTTTGCTATTGGTGATATTTTTAAGAGTTTTCCATATGTTTGCTGGTTCATTTGTTGAGAACTGATTCTTTAACTTTTCAGAGTAGCTTCTTTTTGCTGCTCTGATCTCCCTTGTTAATACATTTCTGGCCTGCTTGTACAGTATTTTATCACCTTTTCTGTAGGCTTCCTCTTTAGATGATGTAGCTGCTTAAGTTTAGCTGTGAACCAAGGTTTGTTGTTACTGTATATTCACAAGTTCTTGGTCAGTACACATAGGTCTTCACAATGGCTATTGCATATAAGGAAAATCTTTATAAAATGTTTTATAGGTGGCATTTGCCACCAGCAAGACTAGCAAAAATATTTAAAAATATATCCACCAAATGTTGGAAATGTAATCAGATCCCAGGTACTTATTATTATATGTGGTGGACAAATATGAAAGCAAGAAAATATTGGATAAAAATACACACATGGCTGGAAAAGATGATTAAGCAGCATATAGATTTAAAGTCAGAAATATTTTTGTTGGGTACAATACCAGAAAGTTATGATAAATTTAATAAATAAAATAAATAAATAAAGGGACTATATACACTGCTCAAAAAAATAAAGGGAACACTTAAACAACACAATGTAACTCCAAGTCAATCACACTTCTGTGAAATCAAACTGTCCACTTAGGTAGCAACACTGATTGACAATCAATTTCACATGCTGTTGTGCAAATGGAATAGACCACAGGTGGGAAAGCATAGGCAGTTAGCAAGACATCCCAATAAAGGAGTGGTTCTGCAGGTGGTGACCACAGACCACCTGTGCAGGTGGGGATTGTGCTTACAGCCCAACACCATGCAGGACGTTTGGCATTTGCCAGAGAACACCAAGATTGGCAACTTCGCCACTGGCGTCCTGTGCTCTTCACAGAGGAAAGCAGGTTCACACTGAGCACATGTGACAGACGTGACAGGGTCTGGAGACGCCATGGAGGACGTTCTTCTGCCTGCAACATCCTCCAGCATGACCGGTTTGGCAGTGGGTCAGTAATGGTGTGGGGTGGCATTTCTTTGGGGGGCCGCACAGCCCTCCATGTGCTCGCCAGAGGTAGCCTGACTGCCATTAGGTACCGAGATGAGATCCTCAGACCCTTTGTGACACCATATGCTGGTGTGGTTGGCCCTGAGTTCCTCCTAATGCACGACAATGCTAG